ATGGCAGAAAAAAGACAAAAAGGGTTGGTAACAGATAAAAAGTTACTTAGAACAATAAAAAACTAGAAGCTGTGGTGACCCATGATCGCTCACATCCTAAAAGGACATGGCATATAAAAGAAGAAGAATATAAATATCAAAACCAGAACAAAAAGGAATGGTAAACATTAAAATTTGCATAGAACAGCAAAAGACTGGAAGTTGTGGAGAGCCATGACTGCACACATCCTAAAAGGAGATGGCATATAAAAGAAGAAGAATACAGATGACAGAACCAGGACAAAAAGGAATGGTAAAAAGTAAAAAGTTGCATAAAACAATAAAATAGTGGAAGTTGTGAAGAGCCATGATCGCTCACATCCTAAAAGGACATGGCATATAAAAGAAGAAGAATATATATGGCAAAACCAGAACTAAAAGAAATAGTAAAAAGTAAAAAGTTTCATGGAACAGCAAAAGACTGGAAGTTGTGGAGAGCCATGATCACTCATGTCCTAAAAGGACATGACATATAAAAGAAGAAGAAGAAGAATATATATGGCAAAACCAGAACTAAAAGAAATGGTAAAAAGTAAAAAGTTGCATGGACCAACAAAAGACTGGAAGTTGTGGAGAGCCATGATCGCTCATATCCTAAAAGGACACGGCATATAAAAGAAGAATATAGATGACAGAACCAGGACAAAAAGGAATGGTAAAAAGTAAAAAGTTGTATAAAACAATAAAAGACTGGAAGTTATGGAGAACCATAATCGTTAACATCTTGAATGAACATGGAATATAAAGAAGAATACACACCTTGGAGTAATGGATAGTGTTTTGGATTGAGGAATCAGAGAGCCGAGTTCAAATTTCAGTCAAATCCATTATATTCACTTATATTCTAATACCCTTGGGAAAGGTATGAATCCTCCCACCAGTTATTGTAAATAGCAGAACAGACCGGGTTCTATAGCCTTGGATGGTAACTGGTCTACCACAGAAAGAAATGGCAACCTACCGTGGGAAAAAATCTGCCTTGTCAGTCATGTATTGAAAGATACAAGATCGCATAAGTGTGTATCACGTATGGCACATAACTGACTGACTGAAAGAGTAAAAAGTTGCATAGAGCAACAAAAGACTGGAAGTTGTGGAGAGCCATGATTGCTGACATCCTAAAAGGACATGGCATATAAAAGAAGAAGAATATAGATATCAGAACCAGGGCAAAATGCAATGGTAAAGGGTAAAAAGTTACCTAGAACAACAAAAGACTGGTAGTTGTGGAGAGCCATGATTGTCCACATCTTGAAGTGACATGGGATATAAAAGAAGAGTATAGATGGCAAACCAGGACAAAAAAGAATGGTAAAGGGTAAAAAGTTACTTAGAACAACAAAAGAGTGGAAGATGTGAAGAGCCATGATTGCTGATATCCTGAAGAGACATAGCATATAAAGAAGAAGAGAAGAATCATAACATTTACACATGGATTTTGAAATATTTTTGAAACATTTAATTCTTTGCAGGAAAGTCCAGCACTTGCACTGATGAAAAAAATTTAAATTGCAGTAGTTTTTGTTACTGCAATTTCAATTTGTTAGAATTTAAAAAAATAATTTCAATTTGATTAATTTTTAACATTTTAAATTAAAACTTTAAATGAAAGATAAATTAAAATATTTAAATAAAAAATTTAATTAATTGAAAAAATTTTAAATTAAAAAGTTAAATAAAAAATTAATTAGATAATTTAAATAAAAAACAGTAAAAAAATAAGTTAATTAAAAAATTTAAATAAAAAAAATTGAAAATTAAATTAATTTGAAAAAATTTAAATGTCAGAATTAAGTTATTTTTTTTTAAATAGATGCGTCCACTTTTAAAAGAAATAGAAAATAATTTTCTGGGAAATAATTTTTGTAGTCTTTTTTAGATCTTCAAACTCTGTCATCTGCTAGATTAAAAAATACATGGTCTAGTGGATAAAAGTGTTGGTTGATTGATCCAAAAGTGACTGTAATCCAAAGAGTTGTGAGTTCAATCCCTGGCCACAGCAGAGAAAACAAAAACTTGTTGAGTTATCAAGATGAATTAACTGAGATATCGAAAGGCATGGTACATGAAATTAGAACAATCTACTTGCATGATCTGAATAAAAGGATTTGGTTTGAAATTCCACCAAATATCACCTGAAGAAGGCCAGTGCATGCAATGGTCGAAACAGTGTGAATATAGCAAGAATGGTGAGGACAACAGTCTGAACAATGTAAATAGTTAAAATACTTCATCTCAGGTTGATTTTTATCAATTTAAAAGGTGGCTTCCTGTTTATAATGTGGGTTGCCACACTTGACTCTGCCAAACGTACCTGCTAGGGGACACTCCTTAAGCCTGTAAAAAAAACATGATATTCTCAGTCACCCTCTTTTAGCCTTTTTCAACTCTTGCTTTCAGATGTAGTTGAATGTTGGTAAAGTTTCCCCCCCGCCCATCTGGGACACATTCATTTTAACAATAAAAGAAGAGGAATTAGGAAGATCATGATCATGATGGACATTACATTTTTGAAGATCATATTGATGGGAAAGGTGGAAGCCAGGAGGGAGTTCCACAACCGAGAAGAGTGATAGAAGAAACTGTTAGCATAGAATTTGCACTTACATCTAGCTGCCATTTCACCTGTAAAATGATGAGACCTTGCCGCCAATCTTGAACTGGGCTTAAATTCATAAAGTCTAGGAACCAAAAAAAGAAAGCACACCAGAAGAATTATTATGAAAATATTTATAGAAAAGACACAGGGAAGCTATATTAAGGCGAGTGGAAAGTTGCTGAAGCAAAGATGCCAGGTCAGGACCAATAATGTTGCAGATTCCTCTTTGAATTTTTATTTAGAATCTCTAAGTATACAGCAGAAGCATCAGACAAGATGTGCCAACAATATCCAATGCATGGACAAATGGTAGACTGTATAAGATAGATTTTGGCAAGGTGTTTAAATATGAAACAGACTGTTGCCACCAGGTGTTGCTCTCAATATCTACCTCTGTAATTACATATGATCTGTCTCTGATATTGTTATACCTGAACGTACCTATTCTATTATTAATAGACTCTCCCACACATAATAAGTAGTAGTAGTAGTAGCGGTCGCCAGTTGGCTCAGTGGTGTTGAGTGAGTCAGTCGATGTCGGACATTGAAGTATCAACCATCACAATTAGATTGCTGCGTCATTAACTCTTATTTCAAGTTCCTAACGTTTTGTACGTCGAACCTAATTTAGGACGACTTAGTGAAATACAAGCCTCCACTGTGAAAACGACTCTACAGCAGATATTGAGCATGTTAACCCAGAAATATAGCATACCTTCAAACTATATTTTTATTACACACACACACACACACACACACACATATATATATATATATATATATATATATGAAGAAATATGGTTTTAAGGTATGCTATATTTATGTGATAAAGTGCTCAATATCAGAGCATATGTAAATATAAAAGTGAATATTGAAGTCAACATTCAGAGGTGACAGGCTGTTTCATGCTAGACACAAATGTCAGCCTGATGATTGTGCTTAACTTGAAACAGTCTGTCGCCTCTGACTGTTGACTTCAATGTTTATATCTTATATATATCTATATATATATATATATATATATATAATTTTTTGTCCTAAGTAATGTCGAATGTTGCTACATTTTTTTTCCAAGGATTTTGTTTTGTGTATGTTTACATAACTGTTTTTGGTTAACTCCAACTTTCCCATTTTTCAAATTGCACAATACAATTACTCAAAATTTGAAGGGTGTTGTAATACAAGAGAAGCAGTCAACCATAAATAAGGTATTTTTTCCATAGGAGATCATATATTAAAGTGTGTATAAAAAAATATATTCATAAAAATTTCAGTTTGACCATTTAAATGACGTCACCTGGTTTTTTATTTACATGAAACCATAAGTTCACTTCTTTTATTTAATATATTAGGAAGATCCATATTTTGCAATATCAAAATTCTCATGCATGAAACTTTTAGTTGTCTTCTCTTTTTCTATCAGAGAAAACATTCCTATACTAAAGTGTGGTGTTACCAATTTGGCCATAGGAGACCATCATATATAAAGCAGACAAATTTCTTAAGTAGGTAACGGTACATTAGTTTATCATGATGACTTCCCATAGTCAAATTGGTGATGCCATGAATCAGCTATAGGATTAGTTTCCTTTCTGAAAAAAGGTGATACTGGTTCAATTTCTGTTGAGAGTCTTATTTTTCTTTAGTAGGACTTCTTGATCTAGGCCGGTTGATAATAATTTCACTATTTAAAAAAAATTAAAAAACAGCGATGTCAACTTGTAACCACTAAAAATAACTCATATACTAATAAAATCAGTGGCTTTACTACATTGCGTGGCGTGAACTTGATTAAAAATAAAAAGTTAAAATATAATCAGTATTAGAACACAAAATTATTCTATCTGCCATAATTTGTGTTACGATAGAAATAATCATTTACTAAATCCTACTTGTAATATCTCAGCTTATATAAACAGGTTATTTTAAAATTTTCAAAAGTAACAGGATTTTGCTATTAAAATATAATCATTATAGAAGTAAAATATCATCATTATAGAAGTAAAGCATAAGGTTTGAGGATGCAAGTTCTAGATTTAGGATTGTCCCACAGGAAAATAGCTTAGTAGATTAAAGCATTGATTCATTAATTTGATGATAGATTAATTGTGAGTTCAATCCCTGGGTTAGGTAGTGCAGACTTGGACTCAGTGTAAACAATAGCTGAACTAAATAATGGTAATGATAATATCAGCCATTTCCCTATAAGGAAACATTCAGCATTCATTGACTGAGCAACCTGTGCTATTGTCAGTTAAAATTTATCAAATTTATTTCTTAAAAAAATTTTTCAGGAAAATATCTTTCTCAAGTCCAGTAGGTTCTATTGCTCTTTCCAGTATTGAAGAGCATGAAAGGGCTTACAAACACCAGTTCCCATACAATCACTGAAGTTAAGCAATGTTGTGCCTGGTCAGTACCTAGAAAAGTGACAGCTTGGGAATACCAGGTGCTGTAAGCTTGGATGTGTAGGCGGTGTAATGGATAATGGCCTGGAATTGTTAATTTGAGAGTCGGGTTCCAATTCCCATTGGATTCGTTATGTTCACTTATGCACTAATACCCTTGGGAAAGGTAGGAATTCACCTCCTCTCTCCACAGTTTTAGGCTAATTACTAAGACTTGTATCAGTAAAAACCATTGTTATCTCAAAAGAGAAAAATTCTTACAATGTAAAAAAAATATATTTTCTGGCTTTAAATAACCTGCAGTTGATTGATAAGCCATAGAAAATGAATCAAGATGAAATAAGAGCAAAAAGAAATATCCCTAGACATAGTGGAACAAGAAAAGTTTAAACCTGTAGATTATATAAGGGGTTAAAATTTTCTATAAATATTTACGTGGCAACTCTTCTGGTGAGCTTTTATCACTGGTGCCTCAGCTACATGAATTTAAGTATGATACTAGATTGGCAGCTAGGTCTCACCATTATACTGTTAAACTAGCTAGATGCAACCGCAACTTCTACTCTAACACTTTCTTTTCTTGCATTTCCCACCTGTGGAACTCCCTTTTGATTTCTTGCTTCCTTGCCACCTACAATCTTCAGAAATTTAAATGCAATGACAATTGTCATCTTCTGTCTTCCTGAAGTCTGTTCTTTTATTGTCCTTCCATCACTTCTCACCAAAATCTTCCCATTCGCTTTCACTCCCTGTAGGGGTAGGTGATGCTGCTATCATAGCACCACAGTGACATGACCTGTCTATACTGTTAAGTAGCATGATCATAAGTTGTTAATGGTGTGAAAGTCAAGGAATATTCTTTATGAATATTCCAAAATGCAAACCCCAAGAAGAAAGAATATTTTCATGGAAAATGTTCTGACAAGCTACATTCTTTAGTTTCACCAGTTCCGACCTTTACAGCTAAGACCTGCCATGTTACCTTTCTTTGTATTCCATTGGTAAGAAGGAACTTTCATTCAGACAGCTTCTTCTCAAGAATTGCTACATTGCAAAAGAGACTCCCAAGTGAATTCTTCCCCAATCACTACATTTTTAATCTCTTTAAGTCTTGGGTCAACCACTATCTACTTTCAATAACTTTATTCAGCGATCCTCTACCTTGAGTGACTCGTGGGCCTTTTACTGGGTGAACAACTATAAAAAAAGTAAATGTTGGGATGAACAAGAATGAATGAAAATAAATGACAAATGTATTTTAACGCATAAATAAACAATTTTTATTCATTCACTGTCTGAGAACAGCAAGGATTGTATGGATTTAATTCTACGTGCATGTCAGCTGGTTGCCATGTTCCGTTCATAAGTGGCAGCCTCGTCCATGAAAATTATGGTGTCAATGTTATACATTATTTATATAGACACAAACATTTAAGTAAATTCTCTGTTTATAATAAACAGTATTAACAACATTTACTGGTTTGAACGTACGAGAAATTTTCATAGAAAATATGTCTATTCTGACAGGAATCAAACCTGTATCCTGACATGCTATACAAGGTTAGCTACAGATGAGCGTCTGGTTAGCAAGGTTGATTTTACTGTTTTTAAACTACAATCTTCCATGATTTCCCTCAAACAATCATATCTAAATGTAAACAAATGATGTCACACACTACGAAATGGACAAAGTTCGACAATTATTTTAATATATTTTATTGTTATATGTTATTTATAGAGACAAACATATTTAAGTAAATGCTCTGTTTATAATAAACAGTATTAACAACATTCACCGGTCTGAATGTACAAGAAATTTTCATTGAAAATATGTGTCCTCCGATATGAACATTTGACAGAAATCATGGAAGATTGTAGTTTAAAAGCAGTAAAATCGACCTTGCTAACCAGAAGCTCCTCTGTAGCTAAACTGGTATAGCATGTCAGGCTATATGACGGCTCCATGTAGGATACAGGTTTGATTCCCGTCTGAGGACACATATTTTCTATGAAAATTTCTCGTACATTCAGGCTGGTATGTATAAGTAAGGGAAAAATTGGGTATAGGGGTGTGAGGAAAGGATAAAATGAATGAAGGAGGATACAAAGAAGAACAGGGATCAAAGAAAAAGATATCGATTGACATTACATTTAAATTTTTGAAGATTATAGTTATCAGGAAAGCAAGTTAGAGGAAGGGAGTTCCACTGTTGAGAAGTGCAAGAGAAGAAGCAGTTGGAGTAGGAGTGTTGGTTACATTTAACTGTTTCAACAGTAAAATGGTGGGACTGAGATGCCAAACTAGTAGCTGCTACTAAGAAGCACGTTTAAATTCATACAGTCGGGGCACCAGTGAAAATAGCTCGTCAGAGCAGATGCCATGAAGATATTTATAGAAAAGACAAAGGGAAGCCACATTACATAAACTGTAAAAAAAATATCAATCAATCAATCATATAGGATGCTGTTATAGACAAGCGTATGGTTGCAAGAAAGAAATACGACAACAGTAGAAATAGATTTACGTGGTTTATTTCAACAGGAACGTAAGGGTTTATAACAGCTACCTTGGTGTGGTAAAGCTCATAAGCCGGCTTTCGGATCTAGGTCGATCTCTCATAGTAGATCACACATGTTGACGGTGGTTGGTCCTCTCCTGCTGACAGCTGCTGAACGTGACCGGTCTCCCTTGTGGCCACCTGTTGACTGTCTGTTAAACTTCCGTGTGACCCCTTTTATAGCGTTTTTTTATGGCCTAATTGGCTCGAGAAGCGAAGCGAGTATAATTAGGAGGGAAGCATTTTTATTGGACGAAAAACAGAGCACTTTAAATATTATTTTATTTTTCGACCGGAACACGTGTGTCGGAAACATTTGTAAAGAAAGATAATGGTCATTTTGTGACGGGGCTTTGTCCCGTTCACATCCGGTTCTCGCTCTTGAGTATTTGCCTGTAAATCAGCCGAGATATGTCTTATTTTATTTTATAACAATGCCTTAGAAACAAGACGTGTCTTACTGCCACTCAATGAAACCTTTATGCTCTTAAAACCATTCCAGATACAATTTTGTGTTGAATGAAGCCCCTGTCAACGTTGACGACAATTGCCATGAAAAGGTGTGTAGTGAATTAATGAACACACACACATAGACGCAAGTGAGAGATGATAACCCTAGCCGGCATAGGCTGCGGAATGTAATATTTACCTAGTCTTCTCACTTAGACGCTATGTGACACAAGGTCGAGTTTAATGTGGGGAACCCATACACGTACACCCAGCCAAGGGACAAAAATTGCCCAGCCACTACAACACACACACACACACACACACACACACACACACACACACACACACATTAAGCTGCACTCACATGCTGGTCAAAACACAGAGCAGCTGTAGGGTTTAAGTCTCTACCTAGCTCTGCTGAAACCTACATGTATGGGAGTTTCGTACTGGTCACAAAACTATTCTATCACAGACCATCTTCCTGCTACATCAGTAGGAGATATGAAGCAGTGTGTCAAATGGATGGGGTTCCCTTGACACTACTATTATTTTGTACTACCTTGCCTCACTTGGCAATGTGTATTGTTTTAAAAAGTGAGTATTAGAATTTTAATAAAACCAAAACATATGAAAGTGAATCAATACATTTATTTGTTCTTTGAGAATTTATGAAAAAATATTAAACACTCTTTATTACAAGAATAATTTATATTTAGAATATTCTAAAAATGTGAACCAACTAAACAATACATTGTTTATTATTTACCAGTTTATCTCTATATATAAAACATAGGATGTCTGTGTGTCTTTCTGTGTGATAACTTTTCACTCGAAAGCCAGCCAACCGATTTTGAGCAAACTTGGCAAATACATTGTACAATATATAGGTTCTTAGCGTAAAAAGTTGATAGGTTCTTAGCGTAAAAGATCAATAATTTAAAAAAAACAATAATCGATAAAGCCGATCAAAATCAATAAAATCAACTTTTTTCCTCCGATTTCGTTCAATAAAAAAGAATGTATAAACATAAAAATGTCTTAAAATAATTGTTGAACTTTGTCCATTTCATAATGTGTGACATCATTTGTTTACATTTGGATATGCATCGAGCAAATATGAATGTACGTGAGAAAATCATGGAAAATTGTAGTTTAAAAACAGTAAAATCGACCTTGCTAACCGAAACGCTCCTCTGTGGCGAAATCGGTAAAAGCACGATGGTTCCGTATAGGATACAGGTTCGATTCCTGTCGGAGAACGCATATTTTCTATGAAAATTCCTCGGACATTCAGGCCGGTAAATGTTGTTTAATACTGTTTATTATAAACAGAGCATTTACTTAAATATTTGTATCTATAAAAAAGATAAACATAAAAATGTCTTAAAATAATTGTCGGATTTTGTCCATTTCATAATATTATAATGTATTAACAAGCAAAGTTTTACAAGTAACAAAGACAATGTGTGTGTGACAAATGAATGTAAACTTTGTAGTTCAAATTATGTGAAGTGAGTGAATGTGCGTCCTACGTGTGTGTGTGCATGTATTGTTCATGCGTTTCCCACAAAGGTAAAAACGTGATCTTCCGCGAGAGATTTACATTGTTTTCGTATAAGCGCAAAGTAAGAAGAGAGAGATAAAAAATTTTCGAAGAGAATTTATAGTGCTGGAGGGTGTCCCCTATGAACGGTTTCAGAAATTAGGAGGAAATAACCCGACAGTGGTCACAATTAAAATTTAGATTAATTTCATAATTTCATATATACACATGCATAAAACAATGTATATCCTTATAAAGTCCTCGTGCGGTTGATATTGCATTTAAATTTTTTAAGATCGGAGTTGACTGGGAAGCAAGAACCCAGAAGAGAGTTCCACAAACGAGAAGTGTGAAAGAAGAAACTATTAGCATAGAACTTACGGTTACATATAATCACTTCAACTGTAAAATGTGAGCTTGCTGCCAATCTAGTACTGCGCTTAAATTCATAAAGTCTAGGTACCATCGAGGAAAGTTCATCAGAACAATTAACATGAGTA